TAATTAATTAGTATTTATTTTTTCATTATGGAAATATATAATGATTTGTGAGAGTAAGTTTAAGTATTTAATGTATTATAAGGTAAATGTAAAATACTAAGTATTAAATAAAGCTTTTAGGAAGTTTAAAAAAGCTTAAATATTTTTGGCATTTGTCAGTGAAATTTTGCGTTTTTTGACTAAAATCAACTAGTTTTTTAATTGTGTGTACCGATATGCTTAGTTATATACACTAAAACTTATAATATTACATATATTCTTTTGTATGCCAGTTACAAAAGACGTAAAGAATAATTTCATAAAATTTTTCAATTTCTAAACTATTTTAAAATATTTCTTTTATAATAAATTGAAGTGCGCAACACATTCTTATTGCTTAGGTATTAAAATTATTAAAAATATGGCCACTCTATAGCTACAAAAGCTCTAGTACTAAAAAGTAAGGGCACATTATCCATGAATGAATTTTTAATGAATAATGAAAAAATTTGCTTCGTATAGATATACTTACTATTGTATATCTATATATATATCTGACTGGCACTGTTTAGGCGAATATAGCACCGACTACATTTCCTTAGTCGCAGGCGTACAATATCCGTGTAATTTTTTCAAATTCTATATATTTGGAACCAATGCTTTTGTTCAATTCACCGCATACCACGTCGTGCGATTGCTCGACGCTTCCGACTCGGCCTCCGGTTTCGGCAGCACCCATATATTGCCTATGCCACTATCCGAACTAAAACGATTCGAATCGCGAAAAAGCGTTAAACTAACCGGTTTTCGGTACTGCTGTTCGCCTTCGCGCGCATAGCGATCTTGCAGTTTTTGACGCTCCTCCATCACAAATGAGCTGATCATTTCGCGTATCAGCTCCAGCCACGCTTCGATCACTGGTGGTTCAGCTTGAAAATCGCACTCTTGCTGCTTACGGCGCTCGTAGAATAAGGTGAAGTGCTTCGTTTTCGCCACAATGCCGATATGCTCGCACGGATAACGGCCATGGAAGATTAAGTGTTTGCCCTTAATTTCGGTATAGATGATGCATTTGTCGAATATGAAGACCTTGCCGCGATAAGTGCGTCGTAGCGTGTGATCTATAATGGAAAAGTCGCTTACTTTACGGAATTTGCCCTGATGAAAAACGTTGAACTAGATGTGGAAGTGTAGAATAGTAAGTAAAAAATATTTTAGTTATGATTGAAGTAGTAAATATGCGTTCCCATTCCCACCTCATTGCACTCGACAATGTCGTTAATCACTTCGGATTCGTTGGTTGTGGTCAGCAGAGTGCGCATTTTCTTCTCCAATCGGCAGCATGACTCAAGCAAAGGCTTAATCTCGAAGTCGCGATGCTTGAAGAGGGTCTGTGAGTATAAAAGTAAAAACAATAAATATGAGAGTAGAGCATAAGCTTAGGTTAGCAAATTAAAAACAATTTAATGAGCTTAAAATCTATTTATTTTAGTTTCATAACGGTGTTTTTTCTACATTGCTTACAATCACTCTGAAATTCCTATTATAATAAATATAATTTTTTTCTTTTCACCAATGTACCGTGATAAATTGTTGCAATAGCAGTGGATATCGCGCCATCCGTTGTATGGGCTGTACCAGGAAACTATTTATACCTAACTTATCATCCAATTCGTTTTGTATGCGCTGCAAAAATAATTCAATGTATACAAATGATATAGTATTGTATTAAAAATATATGAATTCCATACCTTAAAATAATTTTTATATGTATCACATAATTTGAGTGAACGTTGCTTGTTCATTGTAAATATGACATAGCAGTAGAAGGAGTTTTGCTGAAAAAAAAAAAAATTATTTTTTAATAAAAAAAAGTATGCAAAACATTTAATAATTACTGGTATAAGAGAGAGAATGTGTTACTTGAGCATAAAAATCCCTCGCTGTAGCGTTTTATTACAAATTACGCACTTTTCCAATTCTAGGTAGCAAATGCTAAGCTATTTTAAGTTTCTTTTAAAATCTTTACGAATGATTTAAAACAGATCTTCTATAAGCATTAGACTAAAATATAGTTTTTTTTATAGAAAATTAACCTTCATACACGCAAACTTTGCCTTAAATTTTTTTTTCTCAGTTATGTCATGTTATAATCTTTATTGTGCCTCAAATTATGAAATCTTGAGCCCAAAACAGATGTTCTGTAAAGAGGTCAGATAGTTCAGCCCGGAGTTTAACCGTTCTCTGTGCAAGGAGCAGACAATTCAATCGCAGCACTGCTTCCTGAGTATTTAGGCGATAATATTTCTTTCTGTACAAAACAACACAATTCTAAACCGATTATATTTAAAAGTAATTAGATTTAAAAAAAACTAAAAAATTAACACCGCGCTTTCGGAAGCTGCCAATACATATATTAATTAGTGGAAGTATAGAATATTGTTATTTTTACGATATTCGCTTAACTTGTACCAAAATTTATTGAGTTAGAATTAGAAAAACCGTAGTTCTTTCAAGATTTAAGCCACGTATTAAAATCTAGTTTTTTTTATTGCTATTAAATTTTCCAACACCTCTTGAATATTGTCCTAAATTTTCAAGTAGATCGGCGTAATAGTTTCGGAGAACAAACAGTTGGCAAGATTTCTCGAGAACTATTCAACCGATTTTCATGAAATTTCAGACAGGTCTTTGAAATACAATGCTTGAAAACTTGGACAAAGAACTTTTTCTGCAAAAAAAACTTTTGGAAAAGGCTATTTTTTACCAGAGACAACGTATGTATTTTTTTTTTTTTTTTGCTTAAATCTCTTTAAAAGTAACGATTTTTCTTGATTGGCGGGCAATATAGAAAAGAAACAAAACGTTGTAAGGAATTGGGGCAAAGTTTATTATCTTTGGTATTAAATTATCTTCTATTTAAACAAAAAAAAACTAAGAAAAGTGAAGTTCGAACATATTTTTAAACAATATAAAATCAAATTTTTTTGTCCAAAACCACTTTTTTTGAACTTTTAAAGGTTTTTTAAAATCTTACACTTTATTTTAACTAGAAGATGATTTATTATTAGAAAATACGAATCTCTTTGAATTTTTTGTTTCTGTTAGAAATTGCGACCTGCATCCTGCCTGCCGTTCGACAAATACACATGCGAGATGCATCGGGCAATTGCTTCCCAAAGACAAAATATCAAAGATTTCGTATCCAAAAAATTTGTGAATGATGTTTAAATATATAGCTATAAACCCTAGAAATTTCGCTTTAATCAATTATTTCTTTCTCTCTCAAAAAAATCCTAAAAGAAATCGATATTATGAAGCCTCAAAAGCAGGTTTCCCCTTAAGCCTCCTCTCATGTGTTGTCGAGAATTATGTAAAATTTCTTCAGGAAAATTAGTTTTCTTATTTTTAATTCATATTCTTATAATTTCTAAAACTAATTTACGGTTAATAAATTATCGAAAAAACGACGACTTTCCTTAGGTATATACACATCTATCTAACCGTCTCAACACTTACATCAATATAATGTTGAAATTCATCGAATAATCGCTTCAGATCCCTTCTATACGTATGTAACATTGGTAAAAACTCCTCCGCATGAAATTCATAGATCTGTGCGATATTACCAAGCAAAACATATTTCTTGCCACGCAAACCGAGCGGTAAATCTTTGCGTGCAAATATATTTCCATAATTCTCCAAACCGGTACGTAAGTTCTCCACATACGTTTCCTCAGTTTTTATCAACTCCTCGAGTATGGGTTTTATGTGTTGTGAGCTCTTATCGCGCAGCTCAGCCTCAGCTTCATCATCGAGCTCCTCACTGTGAAGAAAGTACAGAAGAATGTTTTAAATAATGCAAATAGCAGAGAGTAAAGTGTAAAAGTAAAAAATTAGCACCGGCTTGTCATATCGGCCAGCTTTGTTTATTATATAGAATTATTACAAATATATGTAAAAAGACGTGTTCAATTTCTTTATATTTTTATACCACCTGCTTTTTGCTTTTATTGTAATATTTTTTTCCTTTTTTTTTAAATAAAAATTGTTTTTGTTTGACAAATTATTAGGAAATAACACTCTTTGGGTGACTCATACGCCGTGGCGCACACTTCTTGTTTGCTCTTATCATTAGAAATTTGGAGCAATTTGTACAACTGCGTGCGCACGTCATTAATGGCATTTTGATGTGTTAGTCCATTCATTTATTTCAATTTTTATTTCTTATTTGTACTTACTTTGGCTGATAGAGCGATTTACTTTTGTTAACAACCGCATGATTCTTGGTACCAATAATTTCAGTCTTGGGACGAGGCACTGAACGATAATTTCTGGAAATAAAAATATAAAAATATTAATAGCAACTTCAAAACAAAAAAAGAAAATTATTTAAAGAGTATGTTCGTTTGGTGGCCCAGTCTGTAAACGTGGCAGTCAGCCGTGGCGCATGAGTAGCATTTTTCTAATTGTTTGGTTAGATATCGAACTTATGTCTCCTAGACAAGAATTAAATCAGTTTTGTTATTCAAGAAATTGAGCAATTCACAACAGAATGAGCTATTGTACATTTTGTTGTTGTACATATGTGCTCTAAACGAAAGACAAAACCCTCAACAACATTAAACAACCTAACATACCTTGATGAGATAGTAATGACAAAGAAATTTAAGAGAAACTTTCTTCCAGGAATTTCTTTGAAGTCATAAAAAATAGTCAAATAAATAAATTTACTAAAAAAAAGGTAATGAGATCTGACGAGACGTTTTTCAACAAACATACTGTTTATTTATATCTGCTTAGAAATGGAGGTCCATGGCTCTAGATATATACAGGTATGTATATACATATCCTGAATTGGCATGTTTATATATAAATAGATATATAATACACTTTTATGGAAGACTTTTATTTGCTAAGAGACGATTTATTATCCAAGGCAGCGCTTTGATCTCCGAACAACTTGTTCAGATCGAAACTTTAGCATATGACTGCTTTTCAATTTATTGATCAAAATCAACAAAACGCCTTTTTATACCCTTTTGTGCTATCATAAACGCACCTCTGAAGGATTTTATAAAGACGAAATATCTCCTGTCATCAAACAAACAGTCGTCGCACTCGCKACTTGRCACTCACRTCACTGTTGACAGTCATAGCTTTGAAGTTGTAGATAATTTCGTCTATCTTGGAACCAGCGTAAACACCACCAACAATGTCAGCCTAGAAATCCAACGCAGGATAACTCTTGCCAACAGGTGCTACTTCGGACTGAGTAGGCAATTGAGAAGCAAAGTCCTCTCTCGACAAACAAAAACCAAACTCTATAAGTCACTCATAATTCCCCTCCTGCTATATGGTGCAGAGGCTTGGACGATGACATCAACTGATGAGTTGACGTTGCGAGTTTTCGAGAGAAAAGTTCTGCGAAAGATTTATGGTCCTTTGCGCCTTTTTCCACGACGAATATCGCATCCGATGGAACGATGAGCTGTACGAGATATAGGACGACATTGACATAGTTCAGCGAAGTAAAAGACAGCGGCTACGCTGGCTAGGTCATGTTGTCCGGATGGACGAAAACACTCCAACTCTGAAAGTATTCGACGCAGTACCCGCCGGGGGAAGCAGAGGAAGAGGAAGACCTCCACTCCATTGGAAGGACCAAGTGGAGAAGAGCCTGGCTTCACTTGGAATATCTAATTGGCGCCACGTAGCGAAAAGAAGAAACGACTGGCGCGCTGTTGTTGACTCGGCTAAAATCGCGTAAGCGGTGACTACGCCAATCAAGGAAAAGAAGAAGGATTTTATAACTTCAGTGCAGCCGAAAGTAAAACTTTTTGTTTTTGCTTTTTTCTATAATTTTGTAAAAATACTTAGTATATGTTTATCGTTCGAGGGATATACCATATTATCAATTACAGTGGAAATATAAAAGCTAAAACTTATGCACACAAGGCTATTCATTTCTACACTCGCTATCAAACCTACAAATTTCTCGCGCTTTTCTGCCTTCACATTTTTCCGCTATCACATCGCTAATTACATACACATATGTGTAAATATGTATGTATGTCCTCATATATAATACTTCGAAGCCGTGAGTCAGCAGCTTCTCATAACAAAGCCGTTGGCGTCACTGATAACCAAGCCAACTAATGACCACACCAATATTCTATTACTAAAGTACACAATTACATATATATATATATATGTACTTATTTATTTACTTAAACGTGGCTCTCGGACAAGTTATTTATTCAACTAGATACAAGCTTGTAATATAAGGCGATAAAGGTACTGATAGTTATAATGTAGTGTGTTTTATATTTATATATTTATGTACATACTGTGTGCTATATATGGCACATATACGCTTTTGCAGGCAATCAAATATTTATTTTTGGCTTATATCAGTTTAAAATGCAATCACTTGTATAATTATAAGAGCATGAGAATATTTTATTTGCTTTGGAATATTCAGTATTCAATAAGTAGCAGAAACGAGTAGCAAAAGGAATGAGTATCGGAGACTCGGGCCTACCTTCTTCTAGTCTTATTCAATTTTAATCAATGGTTCCAAAAAGAAGCTTCCTCATGAAAGACTTCAGAAATGACATTGACATACTGACTCTTTGCATTTCCTGCTATCTACAAAACTCAGTTAGTAACCTGATGAGAATATTCTTACAACTTTTATTGGTAAGACCTACAGGACAAGCATAATGATACCAGAAGAATAGAGTAATATTAGGTGCCACACAGAAAATTGCAATTGCTAACGCCAATTATTTTATATATATACATATATATATATAATACGGAGAGAATGAAAATATCTTATAAACTGACGACGAGCAGATGAATAATAATAAATCCAAAAATGATACAAAGTACTTTTATTTAAAATGTACACACATTTCATAAAAATAACAAATATAATTAATATATAGGAGAGCTAATCTTATTTTGAAATATAATATTACTGAGCTACATTCATCAACAGTAGTTCTTTGGAAACTAATCCCCCCTAGACCAGAACATAAAGCAATGATCGGAATAGAAATATGAAAGCAGGTAGTAATTTTCTTTAGCCTATCCTATGAGACCTTTCGATGTCATCAGGTACGGAATCTAGCAAAGCACTTTCAATATCTTTACATCAGAGAAACTAAGTCTCAGGATAATGCATATAGTTTCATAAATAATTGAGTCTAAGGAAGCTATTTACCCGCCTTGAATTAGGCTTCATCGAGTCAGTCTGTCTGTCTACACTGTCTGCCTGTCTACACTCCCAATTTTTTTACATCAAAGCAAGTCTTAAGTTGGTTGCATTCGTTGTTTAGTGTTCCTTTATTGCAAGTGATTTTAAACACATTTTTCTTTCGTAGTTCAATATAGCGTAATGCCTGCCCGAACGGGTAGACCTTAAAGAAGCATTGACAAAGTTCTTATATAGAACTAAATCTTTAAAACCTTCCTTGAATGAGAACTACCATCTCAAAATCAACAAAGGATAGTCATAATAAATACAATTTAGAATACACTTTTCTATATTTTTCGATTTTTTTAGCACTATTTTCTTTCTCCAAATGCTTAAATAATTATCGTTCCCATTATGAATAAGCATTTTAAAACAATACTTATAAAATTTCATTCGCCAATTTAAGACAACTGTATTGGACTCACCATTTGTCTGCTCCCTAAATCTTGCTTTCTTTTCAAACATTTTTCTTGTGAGCTATTCATTTTGGTTATTTAAATATTGTCTTATTTAATCGCTTGATTCTCTAACTCTTTCCAATTATACCAGCCTACTTCACTTATACCAGTTGTTCGTTCGATTCGCCACTCTGTAAAGTCTGGAAAATCGAAGAGAGCTGATATATAAGCAAGCAGAAAGTATTTAACATTTTTACGCATTTATACAAAAATAAATTTAATTATAGTCCTACTTTTATTTTCCCCTTTCTTTTACACCCACCTTCGCTCGTACAATTCGAAATCAATTCTATTGTTTTCCATCATTTTTCACACCCATTACCAAGAGCAATTTTGCGGCTCGCGCTTGTGCGATAACCCGTTACGAATCCATGCCATTTTTTTACGCTCCCAACTGATCAGACAGACAGCATTAATGAGCGCTAATATGGGTGCTCGCGAACTGGTTGTAATGTAGCAACTGTTTATATGACGATTGTATGTTTGTATGTATATGAAATATTCGCAAATTATATTACTTTTGTAGACATGCTTGTCGAACGACTTAGATCAGCTGTGTCAATGCAAAATATTTACGATACGATATATGCATGTGGCATGTATATGTATACAAGCATATACAGGTACTGTGGGTAGCATTAAATCGAGTCGTTCTAGTATTGAGTTTCAGTCAATGCGATAAAACAAGCAATACAAAGTTTTTAATCGTCATAGCTTTTTTTTAATTGTGCTATTTTACCTTATTATCTCTACTTATTTTCCAATAGAGGTTATATTCACACACACAAACGATTCTATATATTGATCCATTTCGGTACAAAGGTGAAAATCATTAATAGTACGAAAATGACCCCTAACAGGACTAGCTAACAGTATTAACAAAATTTCACTAACGTATAAAAAAATTATATCTCACACATACGGAAACAATAAAAGAGCACGTGACTTACGTGTGAGTGATGAAAATGGAGTTATCGGAAAACAGTTATGTTAGAGGTTTGAGCTTGGCTGCATCAAAAGTTAAAGTTAACGTTACAAACAGTTAATCAGCTCTAAAAGCTTCTCTTACTCTCCAGCATACTCTGCTGACTTTGAGGGAATTCTAATAGCGAAGGGAATAAGGGCATAACGCAAAGTAAAGGTCAAAGGATCGTCCTTATAAGGGTTCTCAGTATACTCTGTATCAGATAAAAAACTTGTTGTCGGAGCCATTTGGAAATACAATCGATACTTGAGGGTTGTATCGGATCTAAGTTTATCAATTGCCCTATATAATACAAAAATGTTCAACAGTACGGTAATAGTATTCCGATTATTCTCGTCCCGCCGTATCAAAGAAAGTTATAGAAGCTGGTGGGAGATTAAATTAATTTTTTTGTTCCATTCGACTGGTTGTTTTGACTCCAAAGCATAGCGCAAAATTCAAAATTGAAGTATCTCTAAGTTTCTAGTTTCGCGATCGCAATGGTTTACAGGCCAATATTCAAATAGAAACCGAGGAGTCAGAAAGAGTAGGATTTTCACTACTAAATCTTTATTTCAACAATTAGCTCGATTTAGGACAAGCTCTTTGTGACTACTTAGGGATATATAGTAGTAATTTTTTTATATT